ACCCTATAGCAGCGATCATATCATTGTTTGCAATCCCATTAGACACTAAAGAATAAACCTAACCATCAGCAGAAAAAGTTCTTACAATCCAAAACAAGTACTTTAATAAAAATCTTAACAGTATCTAATACTGTAATACATATACCCAATACTCTCTTTCCCATGAATTAATCACAGCTAATAGATTCCATAGAATAAAATAATCACTCTTCACCAAAATCCCATCAAACCAAAACAAAGTAAAAACCACAAAAGCAACATTTAAAAAAATACCTGACAAATGTCACATTTGGGCATATGAGAGGAAGAGGTAGACTCTCTGGTGCTTGCTAGCAAGCCTGTTAGCAGCATGAACCTTCTCATCACATTCCCAACACAAAGCTGCCTCATCAGCACAGCACAGAACCTTAGCCTCCGAAGCTTCACACACGTTGCACTGAATCTTCATCCTTTTTATCACAAGCGCAATTCTAGTTTCTCTTCTCCCACACCAAAGTTCCTTCCTTTCCCTAAAAAATCACCTCTTTCCGCCTCAAAGTTTCAAACTTTACCCTCCAATCTAAAGAAAAGAATAAAATTCAAGGAACCCCACTTGAAATTGGGAATAGAGAGAAAGCATAGAAGAGGTTTGAGGAACAAAGAAGCAGAGAAACAGGGTTTAAGAAGTGCGGAGAAGAAAGAAAGAAAATGAAGGATATTTTTGGAGGCCACGAAATTCATGTACACGTGGCAGAAAACGGGTAGTGTCGTGGCATAGGAGACCGCCTTTGCTGGCTTCGGTCATGCTACTGTAAGAAATATAAATCTTATAAAGAACCAAAATCTAGTGTCTTTTATTTTTTTACACTAGGTGAAGTTCCTGTTCTGAAAATTTTGGCTGAAATTTTTTGGATTATAAAAAATCTTACTTTTTTTTTTTCCGTAAAAGGGAACTTTTCATCTTTATATTTTTGTTGAGTTGCTGAGAATACACTTCCACTAATTTTGAAAAAATGTTTTCAATTGTGTGACAAAATGAGAAAGAACTGGGTTGTGTTATGTCCCGTTGTCCCTAAGAAATGGAATGGGGTTTTGGAGAATTTTGCAAAGGGCGAGTTTAGGCCCCATGGTTTAGGCAAAGGAAAAGGGCAGACGAAAATTGAGATTTGGCTTGAGTAGGATATTTTGCTGCACAAGATGAGATACACCATGGTTTTAGGCAAACCGGGAGGGGAAAAAATTATAGTTCAAAACTTGGATCTCAATGCGTGGATTGGATTGGACAAAAAAATGGGTATTTTATTTTATTGATAATGAAAAATCAATGTTTTGATAGTTAAATCAAACTAGATTTATTTTAAACCACAAAAAGAAAAGATAGTTTAATCAAATGTTTCTTTAAAAAGTTTAGTATTATTTAACCTTTAGTTTATTTCATCAAAAATTATTTTATTATAAAATTATATGTGTAGTGAAAATTGAATAGAAAGACAAAGGAAAAGAGAAAGATAAGTAAAGAAAAAGATAAAAGGGAATAAAAATTTCTTTTGGGCCTGCTCTAATCAAGTTTAAACTAGGCCTAAAAATTGCCTAAGGCAGTGTCTAATCTTGGACTGGGGCATAGGCCTAATCTCTGCGGAGTGGGCTCATTCTACGCTAGTTACAGGTCCACAGACCAGAGTGTGTCGGCTCGTTTTCTCTGTTTCAGTTCAACATCCATTTTGGCATTTGAATTTTGCCAATTGCTTTGCTACAATTGTGATCAGTTTAGAACGTGAATGAGTGAATAATAATTGGCAGAACAGTAATTTCATTTATGAGGTATAGGATTTTATGTAAAACTTTTTGGAGAAACTCCGTAGGGATCGGTCTCATCGTTTACTGTATTACCAAATAAGGTTCAAATAGAGACATTACAATTGAATTATGATGGATTCCTAAAATGTGTAGACTGTCAGATTTATTCTCATCATTGAATAAGTCGGACATTTTAGTCATTAAAAAATTAAAAATAATCTATTACACTTAAACTTTATAAAATATCGTTCATTTTAGTCTTTTTCTATAATATAAAACAATAGTAAAAAATAAAGTAAACAAGAACTAAAATCAACTTTTTACAAAGTTGGGATTAACATAGGATCCTCAAATTTTCAAAAATGCGAATGCTCAACCTATAAAATCCAGCTTGAAGATTAATTCAAGACATAAGCTAATCAATAAAAAAAGGTTCGCTTTTCAATGGCAAGTCATTGGCATATTTTCTCGTGTATCGATTGCAAGAACACGTTCAAAATGGCTTTTCTTTACTTCAAGAAAAGGGGTATAACAAAAAACCATTGATCCCTCCAAGGAGACGTATACAAACTGTCCTACGAGTGGCTAAAATAAGAGAAGAAATGCATCATTTACAGAAAAAAGTCCTGGCTATCTAATCCCAGTTCCCACTATGAAAATACTACCCTTTCTAGCATATGAGTAAGTCAATGAGATGTACATCAGCAGCTTTATCCCCCTCAATTTTAAAATCAATTCGGCTTCATACTTAGGCTTGGATTTTAATGAATATGATACTCTGAATTGTATTTGTAGCTCAACCTCTGATGGAATGAGACATTGGAAGCTTAAACCCATGTCAGCTCATGCAGCCTAAATTTTTCATTGGACATGCTAATCTCCTACAAATTCTGCATATTCTCATGATGCTATATAATTTACCTCAGTTTTTCAACCTATAACAACTGATGTGGCAAGAAAAGTTTCAGAATTGGTGCTTTGGAAGATACCTCAATGATATCCCCATCTTGGATGGTATATTTGACATGAGAAGCATCAACATATATCACACCCTTTCTACAAGTCCATGTCGTGTCCATTGTCTGGTCATGTTTAATCAACCCATGCATAAAGTCTGACAATGCCCCAGGTGAAATAGGCTCCCTTGCCATGTACTGGAGATCCCGAGATAAAATGGGCATTGGAAATCCACCTGCAGAATGCATTGCGGCTGTTGAAACTAAGACCACTTGATCTGCAGTTAACTAGAGGGGAACATGGCTGATCACCCTTTGTGATTCTGCAAAAATACATGCTTAAATGCTTAATTTGCTTCTTTACAGAGAATTAATGCTCTGAGATGAAAATAAGGAAGAAATACATGAATCAACGAGTTTCAATTTCTCATAGGGAAGTTTTTACGTGAATGAGAACGTAGAAAGTGAAGTAGGATAAGGATGTGCAATTAAGATATCATTGAGAGCAAATTTTGACATGTGTAATGCATTAACAGATATCATGATCCTTGTTAACTCTGTAGGAACAATTTGACCTTCAAGTATACCATCTAAAACCTGAAAATGAATTTAAAAAATAGATAGAAAAAGTATTAATAATGAAAGCAGCTAGCCAGCTACAAAGATCATGTTTACAGTTGTTCAAATTGTAAATTTGTTAACAAGATTGAAACCAGCATCGAAGTTTTTTCTTTTCTTCTTTTAATCAGACAGCATATAAGTTGAGTGGCCAAAAAAGTATTTAAAAGGACGGAAATGGGTATTGATGCACATATGCAAGCTTTTTTCATCTCACACAATTTGATTAGATGTACATTCTGAAGCTCAAAGCATTCCTATCTTTATTCCATGCTAAACTGGTCTTCACAGGTAAGTCACGGCACAATAATTAAATTGGTTTCATAGGAGTAATTACTGGTGCAACATTAGTGTCATCAAATTTGAACATTACAAGTTATTGCATATTCAAACTTTCATTCCACAACATGCTAGCTGCTATACCTTCAAGGCTTAGAAAAGATGAAAAAAGTGATTACTGCTGAAGTTCCATCTACAGGTAAAGAAGAGATAATCTTACTTGTTCAAAGTTTTTCAACAGTTGCAGCACAAAGTTGGCCCGTGCTTCTGGTAGCATCAAACTCACTGTTCAACTGTTCCACCTATCATAAATGAAATGAGACCAAAATGTTACCATTTACCAGGTCAGGTTTGTTCTTTATTAGCATATGCCAAAAGATGATAAAATAAAATGACTAATCTCTGGGGCCAATGTTTCAACACTAAAACTAAAACTCCCATGTATATAAACCTCATCAATCTGAGTAGGGTCAGAATTCAGTCCAATAACAGGAATTTTGTCATCCATAAAATGGCTAGCCTGCAGAAAAGTTCCATCACCACCAACTGTAACAACTAGACCCACATCATTCATGGACTGAAAAAAGTTGTTACGTAGCACAGCTTTCCATCCAACTGACTTTTTCCGGCAGTTTTTTATGTGATAAGTAATAAATGGCGACATATTACTGATCAGCTATAAGCATGATTGATGTATCACAATCAACATACAAATGCTTTTATCATTAAGTATAGTTGAAGGGAAAATCAGAATAATGATAAAAATAAACACTGAAGGAACACCTTAAAACACATTTAATAATAATAAAAAAAATTCTGCAGTGCCTTATAAATTGAGAGGACATTTTATGCTCTCCCACACGTGAAACAATTATCACCGTTAATTATATATCAGTAGATAGTGAAGTTAGCGGTTTATTTAAAAATACATAAATATCATTTCCTCTAAAATATTAGAAGAATCACAATCATTAATCTAGAGAGGGTATACAATACCCTCTCAATTTTATGGGTACTGACTGTAGTAAGCCCAAAAAAAATTAAATTACAGGGCCTTGACATTGAGGATAGGTTCGGATACAAAAACAGTCTGTTTCAACTCTATTAATTTTAACAGTGAGAGATCCAAATTGCATATCAGAACATATCGGGGAAAAGACCGAAAATCATTGCAATCAGCAAAGCATACACAGCATCATAAAGGTGCTAAACATTATTATCAAATGTCCTTTGAGGACAGGCACAGGTATTTTCCACACAAAGATTTCAGTAAATATGACCTCAGAACCTTAAATCAAAACTCTACGTCAGAAAAACTTGGTTCTGTTGTCTATATGTGATAATTTATAAAAAAAAGTTCCTATTAAACATCTAGTTCTCTCCACCCGAAGCCAAGTTTTGGCTGTTCATTGAAGGTGATGGCTGCATAGGTCCTCCCTGACCTTGGCTCCAATTCTGCCTTTGAATAGGGTCTCTCCTTTCAACCTGCATTGTTTCCCGTCGTATATCATGCCTTGGCCGTGGCCTACTCCTACTGGGTTGCCTTTCTGAATATCTATATTGTGGCCTGGGGATTACTTTCCCATCAATAAACAAATCACCTGAAATTCCCACGAAAAATGATCAGGACAACCAAAGATGAACAACAACAAACCAATCTAACAATGAACTAAGCTCCTACTAAATTCAAATCCTCAACTAACCTCCATAATCCTTGTTGGGAACATCAAGATATGAATCTGGAAGGACCCAAAGAACTCCAGGCAACTCTATTAAGGCAAAATAAATTGTCACAACAGTCACACATAGTTACACAACATAACTCACAAATTTAAAACCCGAATTGTTCACAATAACAAGTTTTCATATTCAAGCAAAATGAAGGATGAAAGAGACAAAGGTAACGAATGTTGACATAGGCGTTGACCATTTCGTCGTCGGAAGGTTTAGGGTTATCGGGGAACTCCATGACGATGAGCCAGTGCTCGTAGTCGCAACCATCCAGAAGAATGGTCTCCTTAGGGGGACGGTTGCTCCAGCTCGGAGAGTGGTCGTTAAGGGGCGAGTAACCCGAACCCGAAGATTTGGTCCGAACCGAGAAATTCACCGATTCAGGGACGGGTATGGTTTGTTTGGCGGGGAGCAACGCGAATGCGAAACAACAGCGACTGTTAGAAGCGGTTGCAGAGGAAGAAGAAAGAGCTCGTGCGAGGGTAGATGCTAAGGTGCGCCGGGATTTCCCACCTCCAACCTCTACTCTGTAATCTGTTTTAGTACTGAAAAAGGGGTTCTAGTTTAGGAGACAAAAACTCTCAGTACATGACGTGAGTTAGAGTAAACTAGGAGTTAATTTTATTAAAGAAAAGTTATTACATAACAGTGAGAGATCCAAATTGCATATCAGAACATATTGGGAAAAGACTGAAAATCATTGTAATTGGCAAGGTGCTAAACATTATTATCAAATGTCCTTTGAGAGCAGGCACAGGTATTTTGCACACAAAAGATTTCAGTAAATATGACCTCAGAACCTTAAATCAAAACTCTCCGTCAGAAAAACTTGGTTCTGTTGTCTATATGTGATAATTTATAAAAGAAAAGTTCTTATTAATCATCTAGTTCTCTCCGCCCGAAGCCAAGTTTTGGCTGTTCATTGAAGCTCTCACGGATTATATGAATAATTAGTAATATGATCTTCGAAAACTTAGAATTCATGCTGTAAGTTATTTTAAGAATCTTTCCTCTTATTTCTGCCCTACTGGCTCTGCCTTACTTACTATCTCTTCTTTCCTCCCACTTAAGGAATCTGAGAAAGCTATTTTAAATTATGACCTAACTATAGAAGAAGTGAAGGCTTCTTCGCTTAGTTTAGGAAATTTTAAATATTTTTTATTCGTATGTTATTCACGTATTATTCTTTAAAAATTAATGATAATTTTTAACTATCTTTCTTTTTAATTTTATAAAATTTTAGGCTTACTTTTTTAATGTAATATAAGTTATAAAATAATAACAAAGTTATTAATTAAGTAACATAATTAGAAGTTCTTTGTCCTACTTAATTTTAACCAATCAAACTCATTTTATCATTTTATATAAAGTAGACTGGAGATAAATAATACTTTAATACTTCAAAAATTTATTTATTTTTTTAATAAATTAAAAAATAAGAATAAATATATAATAATTAAACTAGATTTTAAAAAAGCATATGACATAAAGTTTTATAAAGAAAATTATTTAAAAAGTTGGCTTCAATCCTAAATTAACTAAACTCATATATCAATCTGCCTTTTCTCTTTCTATTATTATTAACTAGAATAATAATAGAACTGAAGATTTTAGACATAATAAGAATATTAGAAAGGGAGATATCATGTCTCTATATTTTCATTCTTTGCATAAAAAAGATTGGTTCATCTAATTTAAAATAAAATTTCTAATGGGAACTGGATCTTTTTTTTCTTTTAATAATTTGAGGCTTAAAATTTTTCACATTTTTTTGCTATTGATATAATTTTAGTTGCTAAATCTGATAGACAAAATAATGATATGATTTGTGATGTCTTGAGCAAATTTGTTTTGCCTATATTTTTCAATAAATAAGAAAAAACTCTCTATTTTCTTTTTAAAAAATTATGATATTGTATTATCTTTATATATTAACCTCAATTTAGGAATTAAACATTCTCATCAGTCTAGGAAGTATTTAAGTATTCTTATTAGTCATTTTAACCTATTTAGGCAGGATTTTTTCTTTCTAGTTGACAAAGTCAATAAAAAACATTTTTCGTGGAAAATAAAATCCTTATCTATAAAACGAAGGGTCATTCTAGCTTAATCATATATTACGAGTATTCTTTTTTATTTTATGTAGTCCATGTTCATTCTTAAATCTCTAATAAGGATGTTGATAATTATTGTAAAAGATTCATTTGGGGGGTCTTTAAGTAGCAATAAATATCATTTAATTAGTTGGAGAAAAATCTATAAACCTAAGAATAAGGGTGATTTGGGCTTTAGAGATATACATCTTGTGAACCAAACTTGAATTTGTGTTAGAGGCTTATAACTTGCAATAAATATAAATTTTCTCTTAGAAAGAACTTTAACCTAGTAATAGTCAAAACTACTCACATTTATATAAAAATATGCTATATGTTTGGCATTCCCTCTTTGAAGGGTTGGGATGAATCTTATGGAATGAGCTGACCATTAGATTTTGAAAGGATAATTAAGTTTATAATTAGCATAATCTTTATAACTATGTGTTACAACTTGTCCCTAAGGATGAGTTGAATAAGCTTATAGCTATGTTTTCTCATCAAAGTGGGTGGAATTGGTCTAGAATTAGGTCTTCATTACATGCATCTATATGTGATTCTGTTGTTCAAATCTCTCCTCTTGCTTATGGAAGTTTATTGTAATGGAATTTTTTTTTCTATAAAATTTGCTTACATTTGAATCTCTCTTCCTAACAAAAATGATAATACTTATAATAATATTTTTAAATTTGTTTGAAATTTGGGAGAGTCCCCCTAACATTACAATTTTCTTATAAAAAATTGTCTATAGTAGGCTATTAACAAATGATAAAAATTGTATTCATGGTATGACTAGTTCTCTTGTTGGTGTAGGGAAGCAACAAAATTTATCATTCATATTGTTAGGGACTACTAGTTTGCTAAGCAAGTCTTGAATGAATTTATTCTTTCTAAAATTTGGTCCTCTTTCTTTGACAAAAGGTTGAATAATTGACTGGAATATAATTTATCAAAACATAATTTTTCCATATATGCCCATTGAAATTAATTATTTGGAATGGTTATTTGAAACCTATGGAAAATAGGAATAATGATACTTTCCATAATTTCCCTCTTAGTAGTGATTCTCATATACATAAAATTATGTATGACTTTAAGTTTTTCCTCTTTTGTGTCACAGCTAATTAGAAAGTTGTTTATCTTTTAATGGAGGTCTAGAACTTTGTTAAATTATAGCCTCCTCTTAATTTGCAACTCAAACTAAAAGTGAATGAGCTACTTCCCAAACTACCGGATATGTTAGTGGTGAGAGTCTCATTTGGGACAATTAGGAAATGTTATAGCTGTATTCCAGTGACTTAGATCCTTGTTCTTGTAAACTTTGGAGAGATTCTAAAGAGGCTATCTTCTTAGTTATAAAATTTTTCAATTGTAATAATCATTTGTTCTCTAAAATTAGTAAGATTAAAAATTATTAAAAAGTATTAGTTTAATTAAATTCGGCCATGTCTTTAGAGAAATAAACTAAAGTACAAATTGAGTGATTAAAATATTTAGGTTGCCCTTTTATTTTGACAAAACTTACTTTTCTTTATTTTCTTTTAAGAGTGGATACTATAAGTTCTTGGTGTCCTAAATACAATAGACAATAGTTTTAAAATTTTATAATTGATGAATAAAAAAAGTTATGGCAAAAATATTACATAGTCTATTTTATGTTTGACAAGGTTTTTAATTTTTTAAATTTATTTAACTAGTTTAAAAATTTATTTTAACAAATTAAACCTATTTGATAAATAAAATAATAAATAAATTCATTTTAGTAGCTTATAACTTTTTTACTATGTTTTAGAAAAGTGGTTAGTAGAAGTTGAGTTTATTAGTTCATAATTTGTTTTTTTATATATTTTTATCTTTATTATTTTATTATATGTTTTCTTTTATATTTTCTAATTTCACAAACACTCTCTTTAACGGTGATCACAATAATACAATTAAAAACATCATCTCACACTTGCATGAATTTGTTATGATCAAATAAACTTAAACTCACATATATAAGTGAGAGATAAAATCACCGGTCATTCACGCTAATAAACAAACTCCAATGATTAAAATAAATAATCAAACAAATATACAAACACATGCTTACAGTCAATCAAATAACCAAATTAATAAGACTTATAATTGAAAATAGGAAGATAAAAAATATCAGAAATCAGAGATCATCAATTCAAATGTTTAGAATTAGATAGCACCACCACACATTCTTTATATACATGTATTAAGTAATGCCGTATTCTTTATATCACTTTTATTATTATTAGTTTAAATTTATTAAAAATTATAAAAATTATGTCTGTTTTAATTTTTTATTATTAAATTACGTTTCTCTTTCATTTTTTTTTATTTTTAATAAATTTCATTTAATAATAAAAATGTGTTTTTAGTATTATTTTTATGCTTTCAATCTGCAATGAAGAAATCCAATACTTAACATTTCTATCACATCATAAACAATTTTAATAAGTATAATAAAATTTAAAAAATTATTAACTTAATTTTTCATATATATATATATATCATATAATTAAATATCTAATTTTACACTTATAATTAGTTTAACAATTAATTCAATCACTTTTTAATATTAGATTCATTTATTTTCTCTTTAGTTTTACTAAAAGTAATCTCCAAAATTATTCTTCTCTTTAGTTTTACTAAAAGTAATCTCCAAAATTATTCCTTAAAATTATATGAATAAAAAATTTTATTGTTTAAATGTTTTAAGTTTCATTCAATAACATTTAACCTTATAAAATAAAAAAAATATTTTTGTATAAAGTTAAAAATTAGTAAATAAAATTTAAAATTTGGGCCTTGTCAAAAGGGTGAGAGTGTGGTAAACACGCTCTGTAAATGCGAGTGTTGGGTGCGATGAGTGAGTGCAGGTATTCATGCGAGAGTGCTTGGGAGACCCGAGCATGGATGAACGATATCATCCACTTCCTCACGCCCTACTTCCCCTTAATCAATGCACACGTCGTCAATTTCTTTAAGGATAGGCTATGGGAGAATGTTAACGCCGAATGGATCCATTGCCTTCGCAAAGAACCAGTTCCCAATCTTCTCTTGGTTCCTTCTGGTTTAGTACAGGTTACTTTAGTTTACATTCCTCTCTTTTTTTCTTTCTTTCTCATATTTAATTCAACTTTTTCATTTTAATTTATCTGCAATCTTTATCTACTGTTAGTGATATTTACTTAAATGTATCCTCTGTTGTTTGAATTGGTTTATGTCTCTGTTTCTCATTTAATTAATAAAACTCAGCTTATAGCGTATTTAGAAATTTACAACTTATTAATTTTTTTATCAAAATAAGTTGGTAGAGCTGTATGGTGTACAAAATCTAAAGTTTATAACTTTTGAAAGGTAATTTACGAAATTTTACTCTAAATAGAGTTCAGCTATATATATATATATATATATATCTAAACTACAAGCTTTCAATTAATTTTACCAAATAGAACCTTAATTAATTGGATTATTATTAATTATATATAAACTACAAGCTTTCAATTAATTTTACCAAATAGAACCTTAATTAATTGGATTATTATTAATTGTTGTATGTGCATTTTGTGTTGTAAGTTCTGAAAGTGGATTTCGTTTATTGTTAAACTGCTCAGTAGCTTGGTGCGTTCGATGTGGTCTCGCTGGCTCTATTGGTGGTGAGTCTAGGTTGTGTCCTGCAACTTTGGAATGGTTTTGCTGGAAGTTTCAAGTTTCAACAGCATGATGGAAAATATTTCTATTTTTGTGTTTTGTTTGTCCCATTTGGTGTTGTTGACTGGGGTATGCAGCTACAGATTTTCAAATGAAATTCTGTACTTTTTCACTTATTGGCGACAGAATGGTTTATTTGGCCTTTATTGTATTCAGTCAATGGTTATTTTTAGGGGTTTTCTTTGATTGATATGTTGCAGGATTGGATATATTTTTTATATTCAAGTTTTTGTCTCATGTTTGCTTCTTTCTGACTTCGGAGGACACGTTATTTTCTACTTTTTTAGTTGTTTTCCTTTGTTAATTATAATATATTTTCTCTCTATGTAAAAAAATTGGTATCAGGATCAATGGCCAGCTTCTCTCAAGGAGTTCATCCTAAAATTAAGGTCTATGGTATTTTGTCAGAATCAAGCCGATATAAACGTGGTAAGTAATTTTTTCCAAGTCATTTGCCCTTACCTCTGTGAAATCTAGGCTAGATCTTGTTGATTGAAATTTAAATATTTAATGAAGAAGGCTTACACATTCTCTTTGATTATTTCTTACAAAATTCATGGGCAAGAGAATCCAAGGATTAAATTGGGGGTATATTTGTGACAGTGTATATGTTTATTTATATTGTGCAACTTATAATGTGAAACAATCTCTTTATGCTGAATTTTTTCATGCCCCTTCTTTTTGAGCCGATGAAACTTGGTGACAACGAAATGTCCTTAATCTTTCAATTGAATGGTTATATTGATCCTTAATATGCTATCCTTCATGGTTATTATCTTCTGATATTTTCTTTGGTCAGTTGAGTTAATATGACGAGAGTTTTTACCTTTATTTTTGCTCCAAGGAAATTTATACAGGTTTAAAATAATAATGAAGAATTTTTCTGAACTTAATAGTAAGAAAGACGATTTGAAGACTTAATATATCTTTTATTTTCAACCTATATTTATCTGGCCTGGGACTTCTGTTTGATAGAGTTTTGGATAGGGTAGTCTTGATTTTTGAATTTGTTTTGTACTTGTAGGCATTACCTGGTATAAAGATGACTTCTCTTAACAGTGTTCTTGCCCAGGGTATGAATGCAAAGAAAAGACATGAAGTAAGTCCTTGATTATCACATTTTTATGATTACCTTCTTATGAATTTATTGTTGTTTTGGGCTGAGGTTTTAGGCACATGACTTTTGAGTGCTATATGTCATTTTCCTTTCAGTAATGAAATTTATTGGATTTTGATATATCAGATAAAAGGAATTTCTTGTGTGCAGGTAGAAGTTCTTTCTGCTGTCGTAAATACTGTTGCAGACAGTGTGAGAGCCCATGCCATTGTTGATGTTGGTGCTGGTCAGGTGTAGCTTCATTTTCTTTTGCTTACAGTTCTGTTAGACAAGAAACTGAACGTAGATCTGTTTGGGAAATTGCATGGTTAAAATTAGTATCTTCCTCTGAATCTCAAAGGTGGAGTGATTGTTGCCTCAATGTTGAAAATGAAGGTCTGAATATTGGTTAAACAGTGAGAATAAGTTATCACTTCATTTGGTGATGCTTTTGGCATTTGCATTTACTGCTTTGTTGTTTGCATTAGATCCATTGCTATAAAAATGGAAGTCTGTATATTTTTTAGCAAAAGGCTTAATTTGTGACTTGATTTAGTGATAATTTGATCTGTGTTAACTACTTTGTTGTTTTGTTTCCATTAGATCCCTCAATATCTGAGATGAAATTCTGTATATTGGTAGAGAAGTGAGCATAAATTTGCCTTCATTAGTGATATTTTTTTTTCTTTCTGGATTTGCTTCTTTTTGTTTGCTTATTGAAACAAGTGATACTTTTCATCTATTTTTACTTATATGTGCTGCATATCCTTTTTGCTATATGATTAGGGTTATCTTGCACAAGTACTTGCCTTTCAATATCAGCATCCTGTCCTTGCTATTGATGCATGTTCTCATCATGGGAAGGTTACTGATGCACGGGCAGAACGAATTAGAAAGCACTATACATCACAGATGGTAAAATCTGGGTATGTTCCTTAATCTTCATCTTATTCTCTGGAATGTGACCTTATATGAGGAAGTACTTAGAATCTTCTTAAGGGTGTATGAAATGATTACCATATGTATGATAAGGCAAGAAGTGATCATTTTGCTTGTCAGGAATTCCAAGCATAAGTTTCAATTTTCACATTATGAATTTATTATTTAAACTAAACAATCAATGTGGGGGGATGTTCTTGCATGTTTGGGAGGATAATTGCAATTCAATAATTCAAATATATCTTTGTAGATAACTGTTCAAAGATGACCTTGTGATTTTGTTCTCTGCATTTATTATTATTAATAATAATTATTATTATTATGAGAATTCATTTATGTGTTTATTTGTTTTGCTGTAGATCAGGTATGCGGAGTTTGAATGTGCCGAAGACAATCACATGTCATGTGTTGTCCATTGACACATTAAAAACCTTGGTTGAAACATCTTTGCCTGGAGATGATGTTGAGCGATCCAGGTTAAAGGGAGAAAATCAAGAAGATCAAGGGCAACTAGATTGGCTAAGTGATGCAAACAAAAAACCTTCAACTGTTCTTGCTGGGCTTCATGCCTGTGGTGACCTTTCGGTGACTATGCTGAAGTGAGTTTAAGAATATGGCCTTTCTCCTTTTAAAACTTATTATCTGGTTGTGATCTAACATTGGCTCTCTGTATGTTACTTTAGTATATAGAATCTGTATCCTGCGAACTTATAATTCTGCCATTTGTATTTTTATTAGAACTTTCTTAGAGTGCAAAGATGTTAAAGCTGTTGTTAGTATCGGTTGCTGTTACAATTTATTATCTGAAGAATGGATTAATGATGGTGAATCTCAGTGTGGGTTTCCGATGAGTTGTGCTTTAAGATCCACTGGTTTATCACTTGGAAAAAGTGCACGCGATCTTGCTTGCCAGGTACATGACTTTTTTGGTCCCTACCTCTCTCCCTCCGCCTACTTGCAAGCATGCCAAAGGGAGGGTAAAATGGTCAGAATGTAAAAAAAATAAATTTGTTGTTGATCTTATAGACTCTTGGCAACAAGCAGCTAGGGGTTTGTAAATTGAACATCTTACGGTTTTATTTTATGATGAATGTTGCGTGTACTTGTAAAAAAATAATGCAGAAAATAAATTTCCATGATTGAATGCTTTTTGGTGTCTCTTACTTTAAGCCCCCTAGTGCCTTTCACCTTTGACTACCCTGAACATGCAATGCAACCATTGGGTATAGTACGATTAGTGCTGCACAAAACGTATGGCATGATTTTTATATATAGATTGACCAGATAAAGAACATAATCACGCATACAAACCACTAAAATTATACATACTGTATTTGTCATAAGTGTAATGCTCAATTTTTATTTCTTACTGATTAAAATATCTTATTAAAGTCATGTGAGAGGGGTTTACTGTACTATCTGCGTTTTATCATGTTAGAGTGCAGAGAGATGGAGGAGCCTGGACACACATGCTGGCATTCACAACTTTGAGTTGCATGCTTTTCGGGCAGCTTTTCAAATGGTACTGAATTATAACTTTCTGTGCATTGTATTCTAATCTTGCTTTTAATATATATTACAGAAACAATGTAGGTGGCTACTGAATTGTTTTTCCATGGTGCATTAATTTTCAAATGTACTGAAATAACTAAATCAATCAGACAATGAGATCCATTTTATACAACCAGACCTAATCTCTTTGCTTATCAATCTTATTGTAGATGGTATATGATAGGATGATTGTAATGCTTTTGTTGAAGTCTCGACTAGATAAGAGCTTATAAAGGTTAAAGCAATTCTAACCTTACGAATTAGCTTTTGGGGTTGAGTTAGGCTTAAAGTCCAAATTCAACAGCTATCACTTATTCTGCCCTCCATAAGGTTTCTTATATTGGAAAATGATTCATATTTGAGAATCTTGAACTGTGATATCTACTTTTACCTCTATGTACCTTGTTTAATATGCATAGGTGGAAGTTGGAACCACAGAATTTTTTTATCTCTTACATCATTGAGTCTTTTTTGAAGTGCTTAAAGGATCTTTCTTTCGAGTTTGTTTTAAAATCTTGCATAAACTGAATTTATATTTTAAATTTTTTTCTTGAAATGATAATAATATATTGGTGTCACAGATGAGGTTTTGGTGGTGGTCTACAACAGTGTTACTGTCTCTATGGTAATTCAACTTGGATTTATTTGTCATGATTAATGAAAAGGCTAACAAAAGTACCTTTTTCCTGTCAAATAGTTAATTATCTCATGGTATTAATTTTCATAGATGAAATTTTCAATGGGTTTATTTTACTGATGGATTTTATATTTGCTTCTTCTCTGTCTTATTATTTTGCATGTAGGAGTATGTCTTGTTTTCCTTCCTTGGAATATTTTTCCTTTTTCCATGTCTTCCTTATACAAAAAGTTAATAAAATATCTTGGATCAGCTTCATTTCTTTTTTTATACATACCTCATTATTTTGGTTTAACTAGACAACATTGTTATAGTTTGGATTTAATGACATGAGATTTCATATTGTAATTTAGCTTTTAATTTTTTGAATAAAAATAAACATGGATAAATACACAAAATTGTTGATTAGGGCTTAGCGCCATCATCATAAAAATGTATATGTTTTTACCCTATGTCTTTCTTTTTTTATTTACTTGAAAGAGCGTATAACGTTCTATTTCATTTTTGAATGGGACATTCTCATAGCAATATTGTTAATCAACTTGACAGAGAGGAAATTTACAAATAATGAAAATGAAGTTGATGACATATAGAGAAAGAATGGTTGTATTATACTTTTTGTCTGGGTCAGTCCAGTCTACACTACACTTGCAGTATGTTTTATACCCATCCTGGTGGAGAAACATTTTGTATTGTACCATGCAAAAATACAGGGCAATGAGACCAATGTGCTTCTCATAAATTTTAGAAGATCACTAAAATATTAATTTTAGTATTGCATTCTCCTCCAGTAACTGAATATGACACCCCTTTAAAAATGGTTCTTTATAAACAATACATTTCCCCTATAATTCACATCCTCTCCCATTATTAACTATATCTATTCATTGCCCTGAAGGTTCTTTCTAACTATTATCCAGAAGTCATGATGAATACTCCTTCAATTGGGCGTAAAGGGAAGGCTCTTCGTCGGCGACATCAGAGTAGATCCGCCATGAGACAAAATTTTCCTCCCGTAGTGCCTTTGGAATCAGAAACTGGTATTTGAATCATATATTTTTTGAGCTAATGTCTTTTATGAATGGAAATTCCTCTTTCTGTTTACTTTCTATCAAGCTGGGAATGGAGAACACTCACTAGCTTGAGGGGAGTGTCAAAACCTTGTTGCGCATTGTGTATTTTAGGAAGTTTTATATTTTATCCATGCTGTAATTTTATTCTTTATCACAGCTGTATCTTGCTATTAATATAAGGTTTATGTATTTAGAATCAATCCCATAATCACAGGGATTTGTTTTCTTAGAATTAGTTGTCCATACTCCATATTTCCTAAAGTAGCCAGCAGGCTCATGTATATATAGGTCCAATGACCTCATAATTAATACACAATAAAATAGAATATTATTCCTTCTAAATTTGAGACTTATATTTTTTGTTCTCTTTTAGGAGGGTACCTTTGGTTTTTTCTTGTACTTGTTTTTCTCATCTCTAATAACTTCTATTCTTTTATATAAAAATGACTGGTAAAACCTTTTCTTAGTCTACAAAGGAAAACTAAGTGAGTTCTTACACATGTTCAGTTAAAACTTCAAATAATTTGTGATCTAGCACTGGGTGATACCATTTGAATCTCTCAAATACATATATTAACTTTTTTGATGTGTTACAGAAGGGATTTTTGGCTCCGCATCAGAAATAGTGGCCTTGCCTAGTGAAATTCCTTCTAATGAAAGGGCTGGTTGTGAAGGGATTAAATCCGATGATAAATTTTTGCATTTTGAGAATTTCTGCCAGTCTGGATTGTCTCATCTTGGAATTAAACATTCACATGATATAAACCTTCAAGGCACATGGAAGGAAGCTGAACCATTTGCTGTATGTCAATTTCAATTTCTTCTAACTATTTTCATTATAATGCTCGTAGATCTTATTTTTACATTGTCTAGGGTTTTATTTTCTTTGTAGCAGTTTTTTTTTTTTTGTTGCTTACTTCTGTTTTCTTTTTCTATTCTGTATGTAAGTTTAAAATAATGCTTCTTATAATCAATAGGATTTGAATTTGATGCTACAACTGCATGTGTCCCTGTGATTAAAATAAATTGGTTACTTGGTAGGAATCCCTACCCTTTAATGAGAGGCAACAATGATCGATTGAGTGTGTTGCATAGTTTAATGACTTCTTTTACATGTTCTTCAGATTTTGACATCAACATTATTTAGATTGGTTAAGCTTCAAACATATGTCCTCAGAAACATAAGAATTCAAGTTTTATGTGGGGAATGTGATGTAGTGGGGCAGACAGAGGTTAGATGCATCATTAGTCAGATTATAATGGGCATGCAAGATGAGATCGGAAATCCTGCCCTCACATTATTTATCATGTTTCTAGTCACCTTAAGTTGCATGGTTTATTGGCTTATCTTGTTAATAAGGTTGGGTGTATTAGGAAAAGAAATTTATTTGTTGTATGAAAAGAAGAGAATACAAAAATTTTAAAGCCTAGAACCTCTTGTAGATCTCAATATGTTGAAATTATAGGAATTTTGATATAGGAGGAGGAAGAGAGAGATAAAAGAGACTATGAAGGTCTTCTATTGTGATGTGATATGATGAGATACAAAATATAAAGTACTAACCCTTATTTATACTTATTCTAGCTAGACTCTTATTTTTAATTAGATAAGGAAGCAAATAATAATGAAATATGAACCCATACCTAATTACTAATATTATCTAAAGATACTTTAAAATATTCTAAAGCTCCAATGATGACATTATAAGATATTTCCTATTATTTTAACACTTCCTCTCAAGTTAAACTAAACTTTAAACTTGGTACCATTATACTCATTAAAATAAAGTCACCATCAGAATGATCATTGATGGGAAAAAAGTCAATACTAGTATGACAGTGGACTGCTGAACTGATCATCAGCAGATAAAGATGTAACATTATTATTCATACTTAACTCCTCAATGCCATGTCAGCACAGGGAAATATTCAAACGGTAGCCAAGACGAGGGAAAATTAGAGATAGCCACCACAAAACAAGAAACAGTGCAAAAACTTCAAATCCAATGGAGAGAGGATGTGTCAGATTTGACTACTGAACAAAATAGCCATTTTTCAAGGGAACCAAACAGCCACGGGAAGGTGGCAAATAGAGGTGACAGGGGCTGGGCTTGTTGAAGATTATGTGGCTACTGGCTAGTAAAATGACGGCAAAGGTGGAAGAACAGGGGCAACATGCGCATGAAAATTATCGTGTTGAAATTATAAGAACTTATGTAGAAGAGGTGGAAATGAGAGACAATAAAAAGACTGAATAAAATTGTCTTGTGTATACTGATGAGATACAAGATACTATGCACTGTCTTCTATTTATACTAATTCTAGACTCTAATCTTAATCTAATAAGGAGACAGATCATGAAATATGGAAGCCATTCATAAGATATCATCTAAGATACAATAACAATATTATAAGATATTTGATAAATATTTTAACACAATCTATGTTTAGATAGACTGTAGAATCTGGTTTTTTAAAGTTTATACTTTATATTACTATCCATTGGTTGCGTTTTCTTGTTACCATCATCTCAATATGATTTTGGTCATAAAGTAAAGTTTTCTGCAAACTTAGAATGATTTATTTGGACTACATATAGAAAATTGGCTAGATTGCCATTGAAAGCAAAATTTCACATGGTTTTTTAGAAGTTATATATATTTATGCTATAATCCAAGACAAAATTTGAACTGTTAAGTACTTATGTAGCAATTATGTACAGGACCTTATAGGACCTTATTGGACTCTCAGAGCTGCTTTAGGGCCTCTATTGGAAACTCTTATTCTGCTTGATAGATTATTGTTTCTTCAAGAGCAAGGTAGTGTGTTGGAAGCCTACTTATTACCAATATTTGACCCAACCATATCCCCAAGAAATGTGGCCATAATTGCAAAAAAGATTGACGAAGATTGAAGATCCTCCTGTTACTGAAAGGTAAGTAGTCTGCGTGTCATTTATGTGCATCAATTTGCCACGTATTCCCGTTACCTAATCACAGCTCCTTGTATATCCTTTTGTTTCATTATTCAATTGCTTTATTTCTCTGTAGCAGGATACATCCCAGTGTTTTCTTTTACTTCCAAAAAACAAAGGTGTGAAGCTAGACCATGAAACATCTGTTTCAAGGTTGAATATGACTAAGTATTGCTTGGTTGGAGTGGAGGTTCTTTATAAGATCCTTTTTCCTGGTTGGATTATTTTTCTGTCACATGTTGATATTATTAAATTGATTAAACCATATAAAGGACCTGTATTGCTCTCTCTACTCCAATGCTGGACTTCCTTGTGAGTGGAGTTGATTCTCAAAGGTCCTCTCAAGTTTCAAGTGAAGAAGGTCAAATCCACAATGATGCTGCAATCATTTAATGCCCTGCTTTCTTGATTCACCAAATCCTCTTAGGTTAAGATCAATTATATGGTACTAAGCCACAATGCTGCTAAACTGTCATGATTCAGTTGCGCTGCTTCCCTCTGTCCTTGTCGGTAAGAGGTTGTTACTCAGGGTCCAACATCATGAGATGTTACTTTGTTATCGTTAATCACATGTTTAGGGTTATTTGTATTAATTATTGAGCTTCCAGCATATTGGTATACTATTCTTTTTGTTGTCTTTCCGCTTTGGGCATGAACTTTTTTTATTCTTTTTACCGAATTACTACGGTGTTGAGTGTTCTCAATAGATAGTGCTAGAAGTAATTCTCAATAGTATGTGCTGAAAACGTGAAATAGATGTTGGGCTCAACGTGTGGTCCGTCAAGAAGCTGTTAGTTTGGCCCAAAGCCCAAACTCTTCAATATTGTTGCATTTCTTTTGTGTTCTCAATATATGTTACTAGAAGTAATTTTCAAGGTATTATGTTATATGTAGGGATTGGGTCCTTCGAGAAGCTGATAATTTGGTCCAAACTCTTTTTTGCTGTTGCATTTATTTCCTATTAATTTATTTTCTCGAGGTTTTAATATTGTACTCACTAGGAAGTAATATTCTTTGTAAAATAGGGTATGGTACATGAAATCGTATTTGCTTTATTCTTTCGCTCTTTCATTCACTAATGATGATTATCTGCTGTTTAATCAGTAGTTCAACACTTCTATTGTTCCCTAAGTTATGGCGTTGCTATTGTTAAGTTCCTGTGTTATTTTAACTCTTATCAATGATGACCATGATTGATTGTTCTATAAATTTGACTGGCCTGTTTAATGATATTAGAAATGTAATATGCTACAAAATTTTCAAGAAGTTTGGGAATCCGAGTGGTTGAGAACTTGCATCTTGGCATATATTTTCTTACGGGTTTGTATGGTTTTGGTTTCATGTAAGCCCAAACCAAATCTAATTTTATATAAATTATATGGTTAACATTTTTATTAATCCAACTATTTAATCATAATTATATATTACTTAGATTATATGTGTCAAATCTGTCAAAATCAAACATTTATAAGATTGTTATCAAATAATCTTTATTTTTATAAATTTTAAAATTATATATTATGTTAATTTTGATATACATGAATAAGGTATCAAATAATATTGAATCAATATCATATTTTGCATATATAATCTATGTGATTGAAACTTTTAATCTAATAATTGATGGTTGGATTAAATAATCTAACAAAAAGTTATTAAACGTTGTAAAAAGAGTATGTAACTTACACCAATGTACTTTGATTCTTTCATATAATATATATATATATATATATATATATATATATATATATATATATATAATCATTTAAATTGTATTTTTTATTTAGAAAAAATAAATTATAAAATATATTTTATTCATTTTTTATATGAGTAAAGTTAATAATTGTCCACAAAATTGGCAATATTAGTAAATTGGTTCTTGAAAATTTTTTTATAGAAAATTTTAGTCTCCAAATCTATTAACTTATTAATAAACTATTAATTTCTAAATAATTTAATTTTCAAATTTTCTAACCTTATAAAAATCTTAATCCCCAAATTTAGTCAACTTCACGATAAAAAGATTAAGTCTTTATAAAATTGAAAAAATTGAAAGCTAAATTATATACATACAGAAAAATTTTCAAAGATCAAATCGACATAAATTGTCCTACTTACGAGAGCAAAATTATACATTTTTTCCTTTGGTCGCGAACAAAATTATATATTTACTCATTTTATTTTCCTGGTAATTAGAATTGGATCAACAATAGGATACCAATATTTTCATAAAGCCCAATAAACCACCCCAAAGTCCACAAATATTGATCTGTGGATGGGCCAACCATAAGTCAAACCCCTAATTACCCAATTCTGACCAACTAAACCCTAATTCTTGTATTTCTCATATTCCGTCTTGTTCGTTCATCTCACTGCTTAAACCCTAACCGTCACTGATGGCTTCCGCAAGGGTAATCCCCGACACGGTGGCGAAAGCGGTGGACGCTCTTCTGAAATGGCGTCGCTCGCAATCGGAAGCGAAAAAGCCAAAGCTCTTCGACGAAGACGAGGAATTCGTGTACCTCATCGTCACGCTGAAAAAGATTCCCCAAAACGCTCGCGTGAACCCTCACAAGATACCTCTCCCTCACTCTTTACTCTCTCAGTTCTCCGAACAGTGCCTCATCCTCGACGACAGGCCCAACAAGGCCCGCGTTACCAAAGCCCAAGCCCAATCCAAGATCCAATTGGAATCCATCCCCGTCTCGAAGGTTCTCAAGCTCTCGAAACTCGCCTCCGATTACCGTCCCTTCGAGGCGAAACGGAAACTATGCGATTCATACGATCTCTTCTTCGCCGAGAAGAGCATCGTTCCAATGCTACCGCGTTTGCTTGGGAAGCACTTTTTTAAGAAGCGGAAGATTCCGGTGCCGTTGGATTTGAAGAAGAAGAATTGGAAGGAGCAGGTAGAGAGAGCGTGTTCGTCGGCAATGTTGTTCGTGAGGACCGGCACGTGCAGTGTTGTTAGGGTTGCGAAATTGAGGATGGAGAGGGATGAGATTGTGGAGAATGTGGTTGCGGCAATTGAGGGAGTGGCTGAGGTTGTACCGAAGAAATGGGAGAATGTGAGGTCGTTTCATGTGAAGTTGTTGGAGTCTTTGGCGTTGCCGATTTATCAGGCGGTTCCGGATGTGAGGTTGAAGATTGAGGGAGTTAAGGTGGAGGATGACGAGGAAATGCCAAAGAAGAAGAGGAAGAAGGATGGTGAAGTTCACGATCCGAATGAGGGAGGGAAGAAGAAGGGGAGAATTCATGAGGTTAGGTATATGGATGAGAATGTCAGTGAGGCTGTCGACAATGATGAGTTAGGGGGTGTTGATGGTGATGATGATGGTAGTGACGATGAGAAGGTGGATATGAAGAGGGAGAAAGGGGTTTCGGGTGTGTTGAGTGGTGTTAAGCGATCCAAGAAATTGTCTGCGAAGGGAAGTGCCAAGGAGAAGAAGAGAAAGGCGTTGTCTGCTCCGAAGGCGGTTAAGGAGGGTTTGGTTGGGGAAAGTGGAAGTAAATTATCTGTTATGGATGAGGAGTTGGGTGTGAAGAAGAAGATGATGAAGAGGGGGGATGTGAAGGTGAAAGCTAAGAAAAGTAAGAAGGCTGCATGAGTTGGATGTTGTTGTCCATGAGTATTTGATGTTAGAAATTACTGCTTGAGGTGGCTCTGTGCAATCCCGTGTGCTTTTGCTTGTTGAGTCCTCTGGTGGATTTTGTTTTTTTGACTAAGTCATTATGACATTTGTTGTGTTTTATTTTGGTTATTTTGTCATTTGCTAATTCAAATTTACTATACTTGAGGTTTAGAATGTATGTCAGATGGGTAAAATCAGAATGCTGCAATGCCCACGAATTTTTTATATACTTTGGTCATTTAGATATTGCATGTTGTCAGAGACCGACGTAGAAATTGTTGGATGAATGTTGGTACTTCACTTTAAGCAAAAGCCTGTCAATGAAATGGTAGGAGAATGTCGAGAACAATTTATGCTTTCAGTTTGTGAGGGCTGTTTCTTCTCCTCACATTCTACTTAATTTTGCTGTTTTCCTTATATATTCTAGAACTTTACCTTCAATTTCATTTCTTTGTTTCTTCTATTAGATAGTTATTTTGCTGAAATATTTTTTGGTGGTATCCTGCGTGTTCAGTTTTAATTTTTCATTTTTCGCATTCTAAAATTATTGGAAAGTTAGAATTCTGGAGCAATCTGTTTTGGTGTTCTTTAGGGCACCAATTGTTAAAATTGCACTTGATATTATAGAGCAATAGGAGTAGAAAGACTTGTGGGTATAAAATGAGACTCTTGGATTCAAACTCTTGATGTCATTGATTCAATTACAATGTATTAGTTATCTCTTTATGCCTTTATTGCATTTTGTTGGATACTAATCGGAAACAGAAGTGTCGAGCATATATGCTGCCTGTCATGATATTTAGTTTCATCATCTGTAATGCCCTGAGTAGATCTTGGGAATTATCTTTTTATTTGTAATGATTTTAAGCAAATGGAAGATATTCTACCATTCTTTTCACTATCTTTCTTCTGTAGAGCACGGAGTGTCAAACCCATTATGGTGATTATTATTCTAATTTATATATAGCTCAAAGTAATTTTCAATAATTGATCCTTTGAGAAGTTGGTGGCAGGGTTTGAATTCCTTTATAGTCTATATGTGTGTGTTTCTTTATCTGTAGTATACTAGGAAGGTAATTTCAATATCAAATCTGTTAATGTTACTGAACACACATTCAAACTGTTCTCTTCATGCTAGGCTAGATTATCCTTTCTACTGTGTTACTTTTCCATTAAAAAATACAATGATCAGTGGTTATCTGCATCCACTTCCCTACCATGCTTCCAGATTTATCTTAAGTTTTAACCTCTCAGATTTCAATTTTTTTTTTCAACTTATTAGTTAAGGCTACAGCTCTGGTGATCATATTTTTCTGTACTTATATTCAACTTTGGCAAGTAAACTTTGATCTTATTGCTATTCACATTTTTAGGAAACTACTGTGTAGTTGTTAGAGGGAGTTTATCCCTGCCAAAAATGGATAGGAAATTCTAACTTATGAAGTCTGGTCCCTATATGCACCAATGTAAAAGTCAAATAGGAGGGCCTCATCTTATATGATAGTCAGAAACCGCAATAAAATCTGTGACCTTGTGTGCCAAGTTAGGTTGAACTTGGAATTGGATTCTGCATTTTTGTGATGATTTGAGTTGGACAAGTTAGCTAATGGCTGCCATTGGTTCTTCCTGTTATTACATTGTACTCCCTTTTTTTTTCCATATTTTTTAATATTGAATTACTCCAGTATTTCAGATTAGCTATATGAGGTTTTAAGGCATTCTAAAATGGACAAAACTTAGGAGCAATTCTTTAGATGCTGTTTATTAATCAAAATTAATGTTTTTATGGATTATCGAGGTGAAACTTTAATATAATTGGTAAACAACACCAAAACACCTTGTGTATGACGCAATGACATTGACAAATGTTTTGTTTCTAGTTTGATATTATTCAATGTCTTTATGACTTTTCCAAAGGTTTCTTATCTTTTCTCTATTTCACTCTCATTTGGTGATCATATACTTTTGAATTCAGCACTTCCTTCGATTCCATAAATGATGATGCCGTATTTTGAGTTCTGGTGTTATTTTCACTTTTATAAGTGATGACTACGACTAATTATTCTGCAACTTTCATTAGCTTGTTTGATCATATCAGAAATATATGCAGCACAATTCTGTAGAAGCTGTGGAATCGCAATAATTGAAAATTTAATTGCAGCTAGGTGTATGCTACTCGTATGTGCTGATAGTGATATTGGTGGCCCAAGTCTGGCTGCTACAAATGAAGTATTTGTATCTGTTCTTCAAAGAGATAATTTCTTTACCTAAATATCCCAAAGTTCGAATGAGATATTTCAAGTCTAAGTGGAACTATCAGAAATTTTGTCATGTAATAATAATGAGGAGATTAGATGTTTAATAACTATTTCTGAGTAAAATACGAATAAGACGTGAACAAGTGGATTAGTAGTGGTACATTTTTGCATATTCTGGGTCGAGTAGCTTTATGCCACAGGGTATATTCCGTTAAAACCTGACCTCTTATTCTAATGTGATATTGATGGTTGAAATGGATAAACCCATAGGTGGCTGGTATAATTACAAAAAAATCCGATGTAGACTAGAGAGTATCAAGAATCCTACACACCTGGACCAGTTCAATCTTCATCGATTAATGTTCACTCATTCCGTCTAGCAGTATTCTCATCAATTTCTTATCAAGTTGCTGAAATAGCCAGTCAAGTTTGTTCGTGTGCGCTTGATGATTGCTCACGTTAGTTCTTGTTTACATTTGTGTTGAAGTGATCCAAACGAATTAGGAAATATTAATATATTACCCCTTTTGGTTTATTATGTAATTTCTCTATCAAATAGCCGTATTTGCAGGGGTGATAAGCCATAACCTTTTCTTTGTCAGTAGTGGTTGTAATGTTGGAAAGGCAATTGAAGACCAGGACTAAGGAAGCGCTGTGTTTTGGCATTGTACCAAGTTTAAAGTTTAAACGTCTACCCATTGATAAACTAAACCTTTGTTTCCTTTCAGACTGTGGGCGGCTTTGTTACAGATGGCAGTGTCACAAGGCATGCCACGTGCTCATGGTAGAAAAAAGCTTGTCGTTTTAGGCTTTTGGTGAATGTTCTTCCTTTCATTTAGATGGTGATACCAAGCAAAATGACATGAAAGGTTACCATCAACAAAAAGAAGAATGACTGAAACTACAGTATATTTGAGATGTACATCATGTTGAGAACAATGGAAAGGCTCCTTAGTGGTTTCAGATAGGCACGACATCACTCTCATGAGTTGGTCAAATTTTCATCATGTAGGTTTGAATGGAAAGTAACCGTATTTGCATGTTACAGACAATGGATTTAGAGGTGCACTAAGAGAATTAGACTTTTCAAAACTCTAGAGAATTAAATAGGGTGATTGGATTTGGACTCATGACCATGTTCTTATCAATTCTCAGATAATTGTGCACCGTTTGTTCTACAAAATTGGAAATTACACATCATGTCATAACATTTGATCTATTATTCCCGGTTGGCTACACAAATACTGCATTGACTCTTAAGATTACTTTGAAATCAAATCATTATTATTACAGAAGTTTAGTTTGTCTCACACAGTTGCCTCTGTCATATTCCAGAATCTAGACCTTGCTTACACCAAGATTCTTTTGGCTCAAAAGCACAATGCTTTTGTATTGGATGCCAGTTTATGATTGGCTATCTGAACCTCTTTGTTTAATGTTTGACCTCAGTCACCATACCCTTGTCGGTCTTACTTTGAAACAAGAGTCCTATTGAACAAAGGTGGCTCAAATTAACTCGTTCATGTTATCTAGTGGGCTCTTTCAGTCACTTTTTCTCTTCCTCCTAACATGGAAAATTAACCCATTTGATTATAAAATTAGATATTTTAAGTAATTAACCGATTTTATCATAAGATTAGATATTGGTAAGTTTGATTTGTGCGAACTCAGATTGTGCAAAGTTCCCCAACAAATATCCGAAAGTGCGTAAGAGAGTCTTGTATGCATGCGTGTGGCTTTTATGAGTGTCACTTTTAAGTAGTGGTAGGACAGTCTTTTTTCACCAACAATATCAGAACGTTGAACATGCTATATTTCTAAAATGCAATTTTATTGTCGACTATATATACACGCGCGCACACACGTACATTGATATAATGAAGCCATGGCCTACTTTCTTTGACAAAACTAGAACCACTGTTCCTCATCCCATCTTGATAATGCTCGCATGCAAATGGTAGGCCTGGAATAATTAAGACAGTTACTTTGATGTTGAGTTCGCCCAAACAGTGGGAAGTGGTGTGTCACGCAGCTCAGACAATGCTTTCGATTTCCTGTTTCCTGTGATTTAAGAATGGCTTAGCAACTTCAAAATTTGAGTATATACTCACTTTACTTTTTTAAATTATAAGCATCGGTCATTTTAATTTTTGGGAAGACATCAAATTATGTTATACTTACTTTTCACTGTTCAATATTTTTTTGTTAAAATAATTTAATTTTAAAACTACCTTTTAAATTAAAAGTTTCGTATATGTAAAATTTGATATTGATTTAAAATTATTTGATATATATCAAAATTAATGTAATAGATACTTCTAAAATTTATAAAAATAAAGACCACTCAATAATAGTCTTATAAATATTTCATTTTGTCAAAATTTAACATAAACAATCTAAGTGATATATAATTATAATTCAATGGTTGAATTAATTTTTATATTAAATTATTAATGATATAAAAGTAAATATAACTTGCACTGGTGTAAATTGATCCCTTCTTTTAATTTTTCAACTTTACAAAAAAATATTTTCAGTTTTTTATTTTACAAAACATTATTATTTTAGTTTGCCTTTTATACAAAACAAAAATAAAAAAGGATTAAAATGAGTAATTTTAATAAAAATTAAAGACTTAAGCAATTTTTTTATAAAGTGAAAAATTCAAGTATTCAACATTTACAAATTTGAAGGACTAAAATTAGATAAATTCTATGGTATTCTTAAAAATTTTCAGGGTAATGTATATAAATTTTTTTAATTAATAATACTTAGATATGTATTTAAATAATAAATTTATTTAATAATAAATTATTATATTTATCACATTTGAATAAGCTGAATAGCAGTTATGTCTTCAAATAGGATCAGAATTAAGATGCAATTAAAATTAAATAAATTAAAATTTAAAAATAAAAATAATAATATTATATGAATATATTTTTTATATTTTTAATTTTATTATTATTAATATTTAATTATTATATTAATATATTATGTTATAATTCTTTTTATTTATAATAAATAGATATTATATTTTATTTAAAACTAAAAATATTTATACACATGTTTAAATAATAAATTATTATATTTGCTATATTTAAATAAGTTAAAAAGCAGTTAAGTCTTGGGACAAAAACAAGGTGCAATCAAAATTAAATAAATTAAAATTTAAAAATAAAATAATAATATTATATTAATATATTTTTATATTTTTAATTTTATTATTATTATTATTTAATTATTATATTAATATATTATGTTATAATTATTTTTATTTATAATAAATAAAAACTTTTAAATATGAATTATATTTTACTTAAAGCTAAAAGTTTATAAAAAATAATAAAAAATAAAATAAAAAATTCAATAATAATAATAATAGAATCATGTAATAAATAATATAATTTTAAATAAATTATATATTAATATATATTTTTTTATTTAACATGTATTTTTTTATTAATATAAATTTTTTAGGTAGGATATTCATAAAAAAAATTTAGACTATCGCCACACACCCTAAAATTATCTTCAAAATTCTAATAAACAAAGCCATTCATTTAATCAGGGTTAAAAAAAAGAGCCTAGATTTACTTTAGTACAACAGAGATTCTGTTCACAGATCACAGTTTACTTTACTTGATTACACTCAAATGGCCTAAGCCAACATTCTTGAATCTTTTCGGCAAATGAACTACCACTGTATATAATAAATAGGCCAAGTCCTGTATAAGGTGTGCACTAGTGAAAATGCATGCACATCTACCAAATTTTGGATCTTTATATTTAAATCGAGTTAGAAAAAATCTGTTCAATGTGTCAAGTTCAATCCAACACTCGAGAAACAGCAAGTGTTAAACCAAGGCCATTACAATATTATATTCAACACTGGGAAGATGGATGAACAATTACACCTTTTTCTGATCATGTGGGTCAAGATGATTCTGCAGCAAACTATATATGCATTAGTTTGTTGCTGTATAATCTAATTTCATTATGATCTTGGCACATTTTTTTTCTTCTCTCAAGTGAAAAACATGATCACTGTTGCAATGAAAAGTTTGATGTTTCCCTTTTCTCTTCTTGAACTCTAAATTGATCAAGAAGACTACACTGGCCGCCACCACTTTCCATGGAGACATTTATGGCACACACGTGACCCCCCTCACCAAAATTCAATACCTAAAAATGGGGAACCTGCATTTACCTAACCAGAAAAATAAAAATTGAAATAGTCAAAATTTCAACCAATTGCCTCGTCTGCCAAACGTTGTCATCACAAATTCCCTAATCTCCACTGTTCATTGTTTTTATATGATTGTGATACATCACACGGTTTTAGTCTACCCCATGAACTTGTACCTCTTTTCAACCCATTGTTATTATTATATTAAGATTTTTCTTAACGTGTGTCTAATATATGCACTAAATTTTATTCAAAATTATAAGATATTATAAAATTTAATATACTAGTAATAATAAATGTTATAGTTTTAATTAAAATTATTATTTATTAATTTTTTTATTATATTGTATCCTTACACACATGTTAGAAATCTTGATTATTTTACTCTACCAATGTCCCTGTTTTCTTGATGACTTCAATTATAATACCTACATGCTATTTTCTCCTATCCCTGTTAATGGATTGAAATTGAAATCATGGTAGCAGGAATTTGTCAATTAAGTTGACTTGTAGGTACACAGAAAATAAGTTGCATTGACAATAGTATTCACGTGTGGCTGTATCCACCTGGCCTATTTGTTCATCATAATTACAGCAAATGTAGTTTTAGCAAATATATGATCCAACTTTTCATTTGGTATGAATCTACCCAAGTGAATGAATATTAATGTTGTCTATGTGTCACTTCTGATTGGATTATTCATAGTGAGAGTTTTACTTTCATGGTTACAATGCACACATACTACTTTTTGCATTACATGCACTGGTAAGTTCGATAAAAGTAGCCCTCACAATCGTACAACTTTGTCTAGAATTATTCAAAAAATGTATACACACCATTTTTTAACATCTCACCTTAGATGGTACAATGAGATTATTAACATGTATGAAGGGTTAAAATAAAGGCTAGTTGATTACTTATGTCAACTATTTTATAATTTATTTGATTAATTTATAGGTTTGTTTGATAAAATTAACTTATTGGTAAATTTTATAATACCCTCACCTTATTAATAATTGACTATTTAAAGTATTTATTTGAACTATTATATATTTATATTAATTTTAATAAATTATTTGATCTTTAAATGAAAAAGTAAAGTTAAAATTAATTAAAAATATCAAATTTTTGTTACTCAATAACATATTTTAGTAAAATAAATTATGTTAAAAAGTCTTACACACATGGAATTTTACGTCATTTTATATTTTGGTTCAAAATGTTTGTTTTTTAATTACTTATTTAACTTTGATCTTTTATATATGCAAGAGTTTTTTAATTTAAAATTTTATTTAACCGCACTTCAATTATACTTTGGTATTTTGTTTTTATAAATATGTGCTACATATTCAAAGTGGAAAAGGTTATTATCCATATATTACCCTAAAAGTTCTGATTCTGCATTTTTATTTTTAAAAAATTATATGTATATAAACTTATGCTTATATTGAAATCTTACTTTGTCCTTTTAGTTTTAAATGGAAACGAAAGGTTTTCTATTAAACCTAATGGTGGGTAATAATTCACCACATTGGAGTTTATTTAATTTACGAAAAAAAAAGATTTTTCTCTCGTTCCCAAGAGTTTGTCAAAATATTTTCTTAAAATTTTGGAATAGCTTATTTTCTAAAAGCAGTTACTCATTCTTAAAAAGCTATCTTCAATAAGTAAGAAAAATAAATAATTATTTAAAAAATAGATTAAACTAAATAAAACAACATATCATTTAAAAATGACTAAAACAATATTTATTTTAAAATGGAGAGGTTAAGTAATTTCTATTTCATATGATAATATGCATTAATTATCCACTAACATGGTATGACTAAATTACATTGTGTATAAAGTTGAATTAAAAGATCAAAATTACGAGGACTAACCCTTTTGAAAAGTTGGGTTTCTAGTGTGACTTGAAATAATCGATTATTCAAACCCTTAGTGTCTGTGTTTACACAAATTTTTTAATCTTATGACGAAATTGATCACCTAACGCCCTAACTCCCCTGCTATCCTATCAGATTTCAGCACAAAATACTCTTAAGGCCATGTGTTTCCTTAATTTGTCTTCACTGTATATAAATTATTCACTATAACCCCATAAACAAAATTAATGAATATTGTTTTGCTCTAAATAAGGGCCATTCAAGAAAATTCCTATGGATGCCAGCTTATCAACAACCAGTATGAATACAATTAAAAAAAAAGGAGAGAGAGAAATAAAAAAGATTATATATATATATCCCTAGTAAGCATATGCACAAAAGTGTATTAATTCACAAGAAAGATAAATAACAAAATAGAAAACAGAATAAATTAATAGAAGGGAGAGAGATCATACACAAGTGGACAAAATTAAAATTAATGGCTATCTCAACCCTTCTGTGTCGTTTTGAGACTGGCTTCTTTGTGTGCCAACTCTCTAATTAATTATTATCTTCATCCAAGTTAATGTAAGACTACTATCATAAAAGATCTTCTCATATTAAATTTCTTTATTTTAATACAGATTAAAATATGTTATGAAAAAAGAAAATTTCCGTGTTAACTACATAAGTTAACATTTCTCTTAATCTCGCATTCATATTTTTTATAAAAATGTTTAATGTACATTTTAAGAAAGGCATTTTTAATTTTATTATTAATTTTGAGCAACATTATATAGATAAGATAGAATAAAATATGTATGTAGTATTACATAAAATATTATAAATTTTAAATGTTGAAAATAAAAATTCTTAAAGGATGGAAAAAGGCAATTAAGAGATACAAATCACGAGTTGGCAGTGATTGGTTTGTGCACGTCATCACACAAACAGTCTCCCTTTGAAAATGGCAACCCTACCCTCTTTCTTTGCAATTAATTACATGTTGACTTAGCCACTTGTGATCCCTCTCCAATTTATATATACTCCTTTCTTCCCCCTCTTTCCTTTATAATACCTCTCAAATTTCTCACTTCAACTTTCAACTTCTTTTCTCTATTCTCTTTCCCTCAATTTCTCCATCTCTTAATAGCTATCTATACCTTTATTCAAACAAAAATGAGCAACATAAGCATGGTAGAGTCTAAGCTCCCACCAGGGTTCAGGTTTCATCCTAGAGATGAAGAGCTTGTCTGTGATTATTTGATGAAGAAGGTTACACACAGTGATTCCCTTCTCATGATTGACGTTGACCTTAACAAGTGTGAGCCTTGGGATATTCCTGGTGAGTATTACAACTCTTCTCTTTCTCCTCATTATCATGCATTCTCTAATATATATAATTATTATTGCATCATATATTATACATGGCATGCTGATTTCTTCCTCTACATATTCATTTTGGAAACTTTATACAAATTTGTACTTGGACATAAGTCATAGTTTTTTTTTCCTCCTTGTGTGTCTATATAAAAAATTGTTAATTGGGTTATGTAATTGAACAAGAAATTGCCTATAGTTTATTTGTATATTGTTTTATCTCACACTGAGGCACCCTTGATGGTGCTAATTAAGATGGACATGCAGCATGCTTGATTTTCAGTTTGCTGTTACGGTTGGTAAAGTACAAATGAGTTGTTACTTTCATTTATGTTGAATTCCTCTTGTTTTATAATATGATAAGGGTTAAATTGTATGTGTGGGGTAAGGTGATGATAGCAACTGCAATGGCTATAATAGATCCCAATCTGTACATGCACTTGTGTGTGTTTTGACAGGGAAATGATGCCTGCCATCTGTGACTAATGAGACATTATAGAACACCTCGAAGCTTTCATTGTTACAAATCAATTCATGACAAAATTAATTGAAACTTTTTGTAAGTTTAACTAAATTTCATTTTTTGTAGGCCAGACCCTAACTCTAAATTCTAATGGCTAAGAAATTAATATAAGTTATGTAGAATAGTCCATGAAGTTTTGATCCCTTAACCCGATTAATGAAAGAGCTAGCTAGATGGAAACTAATGTACTTTTTATTTTATTTTCCTCTATTTCTGGATCAATAATACCAGCTATATGATCTAAATATTAATTGAATATTTTCTTCCTTGTGGAATAATTGGACAGCACATAACATTATTTTCAGTCTGCATTTTCATGTGGGTCATGTTGAAATAGGCCTCTTTGTGTTTTGATGTGGGTCATAACTTTAATTTCAATCCCAGCCACATTCACACATATAGGTATGTACAGGTGGCTGCGCTTATGTAATATATATCATAATAATAAAGTTAAATATTATATTAGAAAATAGTATTATTTTAATAAAAATTGAAATTTTCATCCGTACTTATAAATAATTAATGGTTTGAAACAATTGTATGGTACATGTGCATACACCTTGGAAAGAGATATACACAGTTCAGGTTGGCAACTTTGAATGGGAAGCTCTAAAGTTCATATATATTTATATGATTATATGAGTTGATATTGTAACATTATCCAAAGCTTATTGCAGATATATATCACCTTCAAAGCTTTTTTGAGTTTTGAATAAATTGACACATTGAACTTGTCCTATTATAAAGTGTTTGAAAGTGATTTTCACACATAATAATGCAAATAATGATTTTCATTGCAATAACACATCTTTGCTGCACATGAACATGAACATGATCTCTTACATGTCATAGTAAAGTGATTGAATTCTCAAGCCTTACCATTATTCTAGCTGGATCTCACCAAATCTAATTGTACTTTCATGTCAAAAGCAAATATACTGTGATAATTGACTTATCATATGCAATACAATTAAATTTACAAGTTCCTTTTTACTTGTATTATTGATTATTGTTTTTTCTTAGTGGTTGGATACTTTGAAGTGATTTGTTTACTAAATAAGCAACATTAATCCCCTCTTTGTATTTTTTTAAAATTTACAAGTAGGAAAAAAAAGGCTTTCTTCTATGTTTATTTTTTAAATATTTTTCTATTTTAATATTTTAAAAAATTACTTAAAATATTAACGGTAAAATTATTGTGATGCTTATTAACAATTTTTTTTTTATAAACAAGGAGAAAAAAGATTTCCAGACCTGATATGATGGGTCAACATTGCTTTGGTATGCTAGGCCATATGTTCATAATTTACATTATTTTGGAAATAATATCAACTGTCTGATTATGAAATTACCATAATTAGTTTTGTATTTTATACAACCATGTCATATATGAAAAGAAACTGATAAGGATAGGCAAATCACAAGAAACAAAAATAATTAATGGAAGAAGCTAATTACATACGGCCCTATCTAAATAGTAACTAGAATAATTTGCATTTAAATAATAATAATAATAATAATTCCTTTCCAACAAGACCTATTTGTTTTTGTATTTCTCAAAGTCTATATATAAGGCAATTGATAGAATATATCTTTAACAATTTTGCTTTCCCTGTTTTTTCCACAATCAAAATGATCAATTCTAATAAGACAAAGAAAAGAAAGTCAAGGGTATTTAATTTTAGGATTATATTAACTAAAAGATAATGTTGTTAATGTAAACAGTTATTTTTAACTAGTCATAGTTGACTTGACACACCGTATTGACCTAACTGCGCATGTTCCTCATCATCTTACTGAAATCCAAAGATTATACCACAAATAACAATATTAATAATGACAACACCACCCAGATTTCTATCTGATACATTTGACTATTTATTGTTCAACCACATAGTAATGTACACTTTTAATTAGCAAAGGTATAACTAAAGCATAGTTTCATAATCATAGTATTGTGATGTTATGATTGTGCAGAAACAGCATGTGTGGGAGGGAAAGAATGGTATTTCTATACACAACGAGATAGAAAGTATGCAACAGGGCTACGTACAAATCGTGCCACTGCTTCAGGGTATTGGAAGGCCACAGGGAAGGATAGGGCTATCCTTAGGAAGGGTACCCTTGTTGGGATGAGGAAGACTTTGGTGTTCTATCAAGGAAGAGCACCCAAAGGGAGAAAAACTGAGTGGGTCATGCATGAATTTCGTATTGAAGGCCCACATGGCCCTCCTAAGCTTTCTTCTTCCAAGGTATAAAATTACTTTAAATAAAATTGCATATTTTTATATGCATTTATCTATAGTATTTTATGTTATGTTAACATTTTATTTCAATGTGTATTGGACCAAAATGAGTTGGGGGGAGGGGGTTGTTTTTCCATTAGCAACTTTGAATGGTTAATATAAAGAAAATTGATTTTTTATATGTAGATTTTTGGAGTTAGCCTTGTTTCATTTCCTTTGCATGAAGCAGGGAGGCAACTTGTGATTTGCAAATAAAAAAATGAAAGACTTTTGACTTTTTGGAATAAGTTTTTGCTCTGTACCGAAACCAAATTTGTCTCACCTGGCTATTGGCTAGAATGTGACTACAAAAGATATTGGGTAGCTGACCTAAGAAGATCCCCCCTTTGAATTTTTTTTATTGAACACTAATGTATGAAAGCACCAAATTCTTCCATCTGTAAAGGCTTTTTATGTGCTTTTAGAGCAAACATTACATATTATTTGATGGGTCTTGTGAAGCAGTGTTTTAAGAATATTGATTAAAAAATTAATTTTACTTTTTTAAAATAAAATGTTTTTATTTGTATTCTTTTTCCGGTGTACTAAGAGTACTTGTTATCATTTTCCTAATTTGATTTCCTTTCACTTTCTTAACTTTTTGTAACATCCATTGGTTGAAGACCTTAATGTTCTCTAATTCAAGAAAATTTGCAAATTGTGTACATGCAGGAAGACTGGGTTTTGTGTAGGGTGTTCTACAAAAATAGAGAAGTGGCAACAAAGCCTAGTATGGGTAACTGCTATGATGACACCGGCTCTTCAACTCTCCCTGCATTAATGGACTCTTACATTAGTTTTGATCAAGCTCAAACTCATGCAGATGAATTTGAGCAAGTGCCCTGCTTCTCCATTTTCTCTCAAAACCAAACAAACCCCATTTTCAACCACATAACTACTGTGGAGCCAAAATTGCCAATCAACAATGCTACAAGTGCATATGGAGGAGCACCAAATTTGGGTTATTGCTTAGACCCTTTATCCTGTGACAGAAAAGTATTAAAAGCTGTTTTGAGTCAGATCACAAAGATGGAAAGGAATCCTCTTAACCAAAGTCTAAAAGGGTCACCAAGTTTAGGAGAAGGAAGTTCAGAGAGTTACTTATCTGAAGTGGGTATGCCACACATGTGGAACAATTACTAATATGTTACTTTAGTCCTTATATCCTCTCCCCCACAATGCCAACAAGGGAAAAGAATTAAAGAAAAAGAAAGAAAAAGAAAGCATAAGGGGGAAGATGTAATCCATTGTTTCAAGTCATGGTGAGTACTTGCATTATACATGTGTTGTTTAGCTATTAATATATACCCATCCATGAGGTCCCAATATATTAGGAAAATGGGACTTGTAATTGAAACTTATAAATATTTGTAGTTAATTTTAGTTAGTGGATGGAATTTTTCTTTTTGTTAAATTAGATGATGGATTGAGATGTTATGAAATCTCAAATAGGGTCATTTCATCTATACCTTTATGATTGAGAAATTTTCATGAGATAACACCACCACTCTAAATCCACCTTGGCATTAGTGTTGGTGCTCCAAGTAGCAGAAACGTATAATTAGCACAAAGTTTTATAATGGTCTCTTAAAAACCAAAAAAAAGAAAAAACAAGTCTTGTTGAAGGAGTAGCTATCATTGGTCATGTAAGCCTTATTTTTAATGCACCAAATTATATCATAATTCTTATAAAAATCTTCTCCACAACCACCACAATAATGGACTAGGAAATCAATAAAGAGTAAGTTAAATATTTTTTGTCTATATACCAAATCTTTGATGCAATTATCTATTCATAACAGTAGCAGCGAAAATTAATAATAACGGATTAGGTGATCCTGGCTTTCATAATATATTTTTAAGCTTTATAACGATGTGATTAATTAAGCAGTATATTTTGTTTCTTAGGTACAGCTGATGGGCCAATCTGATGTAATACATATACGTTTCACACATAGTTTTATCATTCATACTAAAAGAAAATATGAAATTCAAATAATGAATTTTACCTTTGCTCATAAAATGTTAATTAATATTTTTTCTTCAGTCATAACATTGTCTTCTAACGTTTGAATCTCTAGCAATAGCATTTCCTTTGAATTTTATTATTAACTTTTTGTTTAGGTGAAAAAGTTTGTATTAAGTGCAATGTCAAACACATTAAAACAAAGCAAAAGCTAAAACAAAAGCAAAGTTAATTATCTTGAAACTGTCACTTTCGTGGGGCTAATTAATCAGAAGAGACAATTGCAATGAGAGGAGACTAAATCACTATGACCTCAGCTTAAGGATTCGCTGACTTGTATAGTGTTTTCCTCCCTGTTATTTTTTTTCTTCAAGAATTTTGATAAGAGTTACCAAAACAACTTAATTAGACGTTAAAGTATAAGATTTTGAGAATGATTTATGAATTTCCATTCCAATTACCATTATAATCTCAACAAGTATAACATTACAGTTTTGATGAACCAAGCGATTAGAATTTCTAATTGCATATACATAATCATATTTATCAATTTATTAAATAACAGCAATGCTGTGCAATGATTGAAAAATATTAATGATACTTGGTAAATTCAAAATTTATAGTAGTTCGTATTTGATAAAGGGTATGTATAAATATATAAAGCTATATAATGAGTAAATAATATAGTCAGTCCTATATAATGGCAAAATTTCCTGTCCAGATATCAACGATTCTAACGAGTTTAGAATTATACATCATGCTGATGCTGCAGCTATATAAGCATTTTAATTAATTGAATAGTAGGTGTTTGATGTTGATATGTATATGATTACTTCATGAGCATGTATCATATGAACATATAGTATTCAGATTTCTAAAGTATTTGGGGCCGGGTCAAGTGCTTGAGAGCATCAAATGCTCCACAGGGAATTAACATACAAAATCACAAATGTTCATTCATCTCTTCAATCCATCATTCACCTTTAAATCTTCCATACATAGTTATTGTAATTGATAGCATCTTGTTGGTTAATGTCTTAAATTACTTATTAAAAATTAAATTTTTATTGATAATTATATTTAAACTAGTTTAATAACTTATAAGATGCATAGGTATTTTATTGTATAATGTCAAATTTTTTTAGTTAAATATCAATAATTAATAAATATTAATAAACAAATTTAAGAAATAAAATTCTTAAAAGTAAATTTTAAATTTAAAAAATTAAGATGATTTTTATAAATATAAAATTAATATTTATGAAAAATATAAAAATTTATACAAAGTAAATAAGAGAAAGTTAAGTGATAATTTTAATTTTTAAAATTTATAATACAATTAATAAAGATGTAAGTAAAAAGTAAAATTATTATAACAAGAGAGAATTTAATTCATACATTATTTTTATCAATTTTAATTTTAAAATGTATACATAATAAATAAACTTTGAATGAAAGTAGATTTATTTTTTTAAATATAGTAAATTTTTATTTATTATATAAAGGTTGTTTATATTAAAAGTGATGTTAAAAACATATTAATTTCCTTAAAACATTCCATGAGATATTGTGCTTTTTTACAATTGGTGTACAGGGAATGAAATAAGATGAGCAAAGAATTCAAGTATACAATGTTATGGTGGTAGTCAAACTTCTTAATTAGAAGTAGTTCTTTATTACTGCTACCGACAATTTAGACTTCTTAATTATTTCTTTTTTATTATAATTTAGACTTTTTAGTTTATCAACTTTTTAAAATAATACTCAATCGCCTTGACCATTAGTATTTTCAAGCAATAAAATAAACAAAAATTTGAAGCCACTGCTGAATCATCTAAAGGTATTTCGATTTTCATATATATATATATCTCAAAAAACAAGTGAGATTGCATATGTGAGGTGAAAATATAATAAATTTGAAGGAGATCAAACTTCTATACGGTCAAATGAGAAGAGATATAATGATCTCTTTCAAGGGTTCTTCTTTTTGTCATGAAAAAAAGAAAAACCTAATTTTTTATAATTTATAAATTACATTATTTGTATCACTTTTTATTTTTATATATAAATTATTATTGGATCTGAATTATTTATAATTAAATAATAAATAGCATAATTACTATTGGATTTGTTGAATCCTATCAAAGAAACAAAATCAAATTAAAAAATATATAATTGAATTAAATCAATTTAAGTGGAAATTTTTGCTCAACTTAGACCGAATTAAGACCAAGATAAAACTAATCGAGTTGTGGGTTTGTTTAAATTTGTTTTAGGATTTTACATATATTTTTTTCTTTAATTTCTTTTGACTATATTTTCTTTGCTTTCCTCTAAAAAAACGTTTCTTAATTATTTCAATTTGTTTTAAAATATTTATTATTTTAAAAATAAAAAGTTTTAACTTTTTTTATAATGCTCATATTGTATCTCACTTCAATACTTTATAAATTTAAAGTTAAAAGAATATTTTAATTAAACAAATTAAAATAGTTTTATTATAGTAATTTAAATAATTAATACTTTTTATTTTTTAAAAGATAAACAATATAAGTTTTTGTAAAAAACTTATATTCTCAAGATATTAGTTAAAAATTGAAAGTTAAATTTTTATTAAAAAATATACTTATATTATAAATTACAGGAAAAATGTATTAATAACATTTTTAGATTAAATATTTTTAATTTTTAATTTTTTAATAAATACCTCAAGTTAACCTTTTTCATATATAATAATAGTAGGGAAAAATAGTATTTATCATGGAAAAGCAGCCATTTATATTGTCTCCTTGTGTATCCCCATGTCGTGCGCGAAGTGGATGAGTGTTAGGTAGGAAAACTCTCTCAACAGTTTATTATGTGTCTCACCAGTTAGCATCAAATGCATGAACTACGATTCACCATAACATTCATCACTAACCTTTTTCACTATCCATATATCCATTCTTTGAAACATGCAGAAAGTGAATGTACCAATTTCATCAATAGTGTCACCATTTTTCTTTATGAGCCACCTTCAAACTAATGGAATCAAATACTTGGCTCTTTCATTAAAAAGAGAAATATTAATAATATACTTTTAAAAATTATAAGTCTAGTCAATGACTTTTACTTGTTGATCAAAAGAGAAAATTGCAACTTTAAAGATTAGCTTCAAGTCTTCCACACTCACATGAAAGCATGGATTTAGGTTTTCTTTTTTTAATGCACACGATGATTTGTAGTGATTACAGTGTTTTTAACGTAATACTATAAGATTTTTCTTAGCATAATTTTGATGTGAAAGAAGGATAGCATGTGTAAACAGATGTAAGACAATGTTGAAAGTAAACATTAGATTAGGTACGTGCATCTCAAAGTCTAACTAGAACCTCAGCTTTCTTTTGTATGCATTATGTGCATGGGATTCTTTGAAAGCAACTCATAACCTAACTCAAAGATTGGACCCTCAATGCTTAAACTATCTACAATACACATTATTACAAGTATTTGGAATTTTATTAGAGGGCTAGCTAGTATGGGTTTAAGCTCTTAGCTCCATTAAACATATATATACAACTGGCCTATGCTATATATGTATATTGTTTATATTCCCTAAAATAAATAGCTAACTCCCATTTGCATGTTTTACAAAGTCTGTGACCAAAAGCCTAGCTAGGAGGAATAACCCCATCTTGTATATTGCAACCCAAAGAGAATTGCGTGACAACAAAAATTACGATATTATCTTTTAAAGTTGAAATAAAAAATTTGACATTTAGTAATTACTTAGAAAATTATTCTATGAACTAATTGTACCATACATTTTTTAGTGTAAAAGAAACAAATTCACTATATATTTTTAGGATGTAAAAGATAAGAAAAATGGTTATAATGGTTGTTTTAATGGATAAAATTTATATATTGTTTTTTAGGTGTTGCTAGTGTTGTTTATTAATTACAATTACATGTTTATTTTAATATTTTTATAAATTATTAAGATAAAACTCTAATTGTAACTGATAAGCATTAGTAAGAATATCTAAAAACTTGTATCTTAGTTTTAAATTAGTGCTACCATATTTTTCCCATCGAAGTTTTCATCTAAATTTAAGTAAATTTTTCTAATAAAAAATCCTACATGAATTAATTATCATATCATACAAAATATACAGAAAACATAGGTTAAATTACATATATAGAAAAATCTAAATACAAAAATAAGATCCATTTTCATCTTCACTATTGTTGAATTGATTCCACGTAATGATTATTTATCAAGCTGAAATTTTATTAAATGCTGACAATTTAGTTAGTTGTAATCTCTATTGGGATGATATACGTTCACTAAATGATCCAATTAATGATATCTAATACTTTATTGACTTTAAACCAATTTATCTAAGACCAATCCAATCCACTTATCTTTGCATCGATATCTACTCTTCAATTTTGAAAATTTATTTACATATTATCTATCATATATAGTTGCTATGTAGAGCGAAAACCATTGTGTGAAATAGTTTGGAAAGACCTGGCAATTACAGTATGTGATTAGCTAAATCTGAATTCAATTAAAACAAAAAGACAAATAAGGATTTGACAGAAATCAAT